TCTGCTGGCAGAATGGGTGCTACACCCTGCTCTGCTGGCAGGTCGGCTATTACGCCCAAATTTCCTCTCTCTGTCAGTAACCAGCACTACACGCTGTAGTGACCCATCCTATGTCACTACACATGCATGAATTCATAATTATTTCTATTAATTCCATATTTTTATCCATACATGCAATCGACTGATACAGAGATTCAGGAAATGTGCACCCAGATACACAGGGACATAGGAAGAGGGAAAGTTACAATAAACAGATTAAGATAGTGAAAGAAATAAAAAAAAGAACCGGGACACAGTCTATGGAATCATTTATTTCTGTTAGTGCTCAAATAACTCACTGTGTACAGAAACACCACTTTACCAAATAATCCAAAGTTCTACCTCTCCCCTAACCAAGTTAAGCTCATAACTCTCAAAGTGCATTATAATATCGTTATTAAGCTGTCATATAAATGTGGATCGGTGGTGATCTGGTGGACAGATCTCTGTAGAGATGAAGCATTCAGACAGATGAGTCGTATTTATTTGTACAGAAAGTTGACCATAACCTGAAAGCGAGTCATCAACAGGCAGCCAGAGACACGCTGCTAACCATTATTAGGCAGGCTGTCATCCTACCGGAGCCTGCCAAAAACCTCAAATTCAACCAACCACTTATTTCCTACCAAAATAACGGCAAACAGCCCAGGCCACTCGATAAAACTATCCTGTAGTTCATTTGCTGAGCAAGTTTCGAGCTGCTTGGATAATACAGTTTCTCTGTTTGTACCTCATGTAAAGTTCGTGTGCGGACACGGTTAGGATTGAATGTGGGGGTCGCGAAAAGGACAGGAGACTATGCCCATAGAAATAACCTTGCAAGGATGGCGGGACAAGGGGTTAACGGTTTACAAGAAAACCCCACAGATACAGATTGGCAGGAGAGATAAATGTAGGGGAGACGAAGCGAAGGGGCGTCGGGTAAGGCTGGTCATCAACAAAAGTGTTCATGCCATAAGTGTTGGTATAGATTGGAACAATAATTTCCTTACCGACCTAATTTCAAGAAACCAACCATGCCCTACCTTCCCAGGTCCTTAACGTTGATCTTCATAATGGACATACGTTCCATGCACAGCATCATTCCCAAAAATCATGGTTGAGGAGTGCTGACACATTTCTTCAACACGTGGGGTGAACAAACCCCGTCAACAACGGAATATGTCAGTACAACGATACAACAGTGGAGGACGTGAGGGTGGGATGAGAGTTGTGAATCAGCTACTTTGAAATCGCCCATTGTCTAAAGATGAACTGAACACAATAATTATTCGCGTCAATCTTCTGAGAGTTTATTATTTCAGTAGCTCTGATTTACCACAAGCAAAACTCCGTACCTGTATTTGCATTGAATGTCTCATCAGCAGAGTCAGGCTTTGCTTGTACCAATGCTGGTGGACCGCTGGATGTTGAAGGGAAGGAACCTAAATTAATATTTTGATCCTCGTTTAACAAATAATTATATACAACTCAAAATAATCATGAGCGTCGTTGGAGAATATTTAAAAATGTTTACTCAACGCATTGGCACTCGCCCACACCCGCAATCCCACAGAACCGGTTTGGCCATTGAAGGGTCGAGGGTCTCAGTCGTTTCTCTACGCCTCTCTTCACAGCAGCAGCGTTCTGCACTGCGAGGGTCTCTGAGTGTTGCAGCGCCGTACAACTCCCAAGTTCGTGAAGCAACCAAGAACCGAATCGTCTGAGAGGAGATTGAGCGATGAAATCATCCCGTGTGCAGGTACTGAGAGGATTGTTGCACTGCAGAACCGTGACGGCTCGGGGAAGCCTTCATCCAGCAGTGGATCGCTCATGGCTGATGATTGTTAAGGTAAAGGGGCACTACAGTCGTGAGATGTTAACTACCTCACCTCGTGTGCAATAGGTTGTGGGTTTGATCCCAGCCCTGACACCTCTAAATTTGGCGTTTGCATGATCACCTCGTTTTCACGTAGGATTTTTTCCAGGTCTCCCGTTACCCCCCATATAAAAAAATGGGCTTAGACTATTTAGTTGCTATAAGTTCCACGCGAAAAGCTGTTTTGTTATCATTTGTGGCCAGGTCGCTTCTGAAAAAGAGTTATATAGCTCAGTGGGCCTTGCTTGTTAAATTATAAATAGTTTAGTTTCAAAGTAAAAAAAATCGTAGCACGACACGTGCTGGAGTGGCATGTGTTCAGCACATGTCCTAACGTTATACACACATTTAAAGTGATTGAAAAAAGAATGTGTTCGTATGCATTACTAAACCGGGAGATATGGAGAGGATTGTGTAATGTTCATGTCTTGTACTTGTGCGTCGCTTTTGTCAATCCAATGCTGGATGAAGACCGTCCAACGCCATGCAGGTTGTAGGGAGTTGTTTAGCCTTCACCACGCTGGTCAGTAATGGAGTGTAGATATGGGAGCATAGAAGTGCAGTATAGCAATCAATGGATATTGATTGTTTAGCTCATGACACAATGGTTCATCTTCATCTGCCAATGTGTGTAAATTGTGGATCAGTGTGAAAATGGAGATCTTCACTGAAGTAAATTTCTTTTACAGGGAAGTGGTGAGAAAAGTTTCGGTTTTCCCTGAAAAACTAAATATTTAACAAGACAGGTATGTGCCACACGCAAACTGTCTAACAAGGCAAAAGATAAGCTGGTTTAGTTGATTGTAAATACCATTATTATTCAATATTGGCAAACATCACCATCTCAAACCAACTGCTACAAAAAGTTGGCTGGTTGAGAATAATTTAACAATCTTCCTTATTCTGTGAATCCTTTAAAAACATTGTGAAATAAAATAGAACATTCTATATACACGTGTGTTACACTTATAGACATGCATTTGATTATCCATTGATTAATTCATTAATTTTATCCTTGCATTAATTCATTTATACCATTACATTCATCCATCAAGCATTAATTAATAATTACTTAATTCATTCCATGTTTCGTTATCCATACATGCAATCGACTGATACAGAGATTCAGGAAATGTGCACCCAGATACACAGGGACATAGGATGAGGGAAAGTTAAAGTAAACAGATTAAGATAGTGATAGAAATAAAAAAAGAACCAGGCCACAGTCTACGGATTCATTTATTTCTGTTAGTGTTCAAATAATTAACTGTGTACAGAAACGTCACGTTACCAAACAATCCAAAGTTCTACCTCACCCCTAACCAAGTTAAGCTCAGAACTCTCAAGGTGTATTATAATATCGTTATTAAGCTGGCCTATAAATGGGGATCTGTGGTGATCTGGTGGACAGATCTCTGTAGAGATGAAGCATTCAGACAGATGAATTATATTTATTTTTACAGAAAGTTGATCATAACCTGAAAGCGAGTAATCAACAGGCAGCCAGAGACTCGCTGCTAACCATTATTAGGCAGGCTGCCATCCAACTGGAACCTGCAAAAAACCTCAAATTCAACCAACCATTTATTTCCTACCAAAATACAGCAAACAGCCCAGGCCACTCGGTAAAATAATCCTTTAGTGGATTTGCTGGGCAAGTTTCGAGCTGATTGGCTAATACAGTTTATCTGTTTGTACATCATGTAAAGTTAGTGTGGGGACACGGTTAGGATTGAATGTGGGGGTCGCGAAACGGACAAGAGACCACTCCCACAGTAATAACCTGGCAAGGAAGGTGGGACAAGGGGTTAGCGGTTTACAAGAAAAGCCCACAGATACAGATTGGCATGAGAGATAAATGTAGAGGAAACGAAGCGAAGGGGCTCAGGGTAAGGCTTGTCTTCAACAACAGTGTTCGTGCCGTAAGTGTTGGTATTGATTGAAACAATAGTTTCCTTACCGACCTAAATTTCAAGAAACCAACCATGCCCTACCTCACGACTCTTCAAGAACCATATATTCCCAAGTCCTTAACGTTGATCTTCATAATTGACATACGTTCCATGCATGTTTCCCAAAAATCATGGTTGAGGAGTGCTGACACATTTCTTCAACACGTGGGGTGAACAAACCCCGTCAACAACGGAATATGTCAGTACAACGATGCAACAGTGGAGGACGTGAGGGTGGGATGAGAGTTGTGAATCAGCTACTTTGAAATCGCCCATTGTCTAAAGATGAACTGAACACAATAATTATTCGCGTCAACCTTCTGAGAGTAAATTATTTCAGTAGCTCTGATTTACCACAAGCAAAACTCCGTACCTGTATTTGCATTGAATGTCTCATCAGCAGAGTCAGGCTTTGCTTGTACCAATGCTGGTGGACCGCTGGATGTTGAAGGGAAGGAACCTAAATTAATATTTTGATCCTCGTTTAACAAATAATTATATACAACTCAAAATAATCATGAGCGTCGTTGGAGAATATTTAAAAATGTTTACTCAACGCATTGGCACTCGCCCACACCCGCAATCCCACAGAACCGGTTTGGCCATTGAAGGGTCGAGGGTCGCAGTCGTTTCTCTACGTCTCTCTTCAAAGCAGCAGCGTTCTGCACTGCGAGGGTCTCTGAGTGTTGCAGCGCCGTACAACTCCCAAGTTCGTGAAGCAACCAAGAACCGAATCGTCTTAGAGGAGATTGAGCGATGAAATCATCCCGTGTGCAGGTACTGAGAGGATTGTTGCACTGCAGAACCGTGACGGCTCGGGGAAGCCTTCATCCAGCAGTGTATCGCTCATGGCTGATGATTGTAAAGGTAAAGGGGCACTACAGTCGCGAGATGTTAACTACCTCACCTTGTGTGCAATCGTTCGTGGGTTCGATCCCAGCCCTGACACCTGTTTATTTGGCGTTTGCATGATCACCTCTTTTTCACGTAGGATTTTCTCCAGGTCACCCGTTACCCCACACATTTAAAAAAAATGGGCTTAGACTATTTAGTTGCTATAAATTTCCACGCGATAAGCCATTTCGTTATCATTTGTGGCCAGGTCGCTTCTGAAAAATAGTTATATAGCTCAGTGGGCGATACTTGTTAAATTATAAATAGTTTAGTTTCAAAGTAAAAAAAAATGATAGCACGACACGTGCTGGAGTGGCATGTGTTCAGCACATGTCCTAACGGTATACACACATTTAAAGTGATTGAATAAGGAATGTGTTCGTATGCATTACTAAACCGGGAGATATGGAGAGGATTGTGTAATGTTCATGTCTTGTACTTGTGCGTCGCTTTTGTCAATCCAATGCTGGATGAAGACCGTCCAACGCCGTGCAGGTTGTAGGGAGTTGTTTAGCCTTCACCACGCTGGTCAGTAATGGAGTGTAGATATGGGAGCATAGAAGTGCAGTATAGCAATCAATGGATATTGATTGTTTAGCTCATGACACAATGGTTCATCTTCATCTGCCAATGTGTGTAAATTGTGGATCAGTGTGAAAATGGAGATCTTCACTGAAGTAAATTTATTTTACAGGGAAGTGGTGAGAAAAGTTTCGGTTTTCCTGAAAAACTAAATATTTAACAAGACAGGTATGTGCCACACGCAAACTGTCTAACAAGGCAAACGATAAGCTGGTTTAGTTGATTGTAAATACCATTATTATTCAATATTGGCAAACATCACCATCTCAAACCAACTGCTACAAAAAGTTGGCTGGTTGAGAATAATTTAACAATCTTCCTTATTCTGTGAATCCTTTAAAAACATTGTGAAATAAAATAGAACATTCTATATACACGTGTGTTACACTTACAGACATGCATTTGATTATCCATTGATTAATTCATTGATTTTATCCTTGCATTAATTCATTTATACCATTACATTCATCCATCAAGCATTAATTAATAATTACTTAATTCATTCCATGTTTCGTTATCAATACATGCAATAGACTGATACAGAGATTCAGGAAATGTGCACCCAGATACACAGGGACATAGGATGAGGGAAAGTTACAGTAAACAGATTAAGATAGTGATAGAAATAAAAAAAAGAACCGGGCCACAGTCTATGGATTCATTTATTTCTGTTAGTGTTCAAATAAGTAACTGTGTACAGAAACGTCACGTTACCAAACAATCCAAAGTTCTACCTCACCCCTAACCAAGTTAAGCTCAGAACTCTCAAGGTGTATTATAATAACATTATTAAGCTGGCCTATAAATGGGGATCCGTGGTGATCTGGTGGACAGATCTCTGTAGAGATGAAGCATTCATACAGATGAGTTATATTTATTTTTACAGAAAGTTGACCATAACCTGAAAGCGAGTAATCAACAGGCAGCCAGAGACACACTGCTAACCATTATTAGGCAGGCTGCCATCCAACTGGAACCTGCCAAAAACCTCAAATTCAACCAACCATTTATTTCCTACCAAAATACAGCAAACAGCCCAGGCCACTCGGTAAAATAATCCTTTAGTGGATTTGCTGGGCAAGTTTCGAGCTGATTGGCTAATACAGTTTATCTGTTTGTACATCATGTAAAGTTCGTATGGGGACACGGTTAGGATTGAATGTGGGGGTCGCGAAACGGACAAGAGACCACTCCCACAGTGATAACCTGGCAAGGAAGGTGGGACAAGGGGTTAGCGGTTTACAAGAAAAGCCCACAGATACAGATTGGCAGGAGAGATAAATGTAGAGGAAACGAAGCGAAGGGGATCAGGGTAAGGCTTGTCATCAACAACAGTGTTCGTGCCGTAAGTGTTGGTATTGATTGAAACAATAGTTTCCTTACCGACCTAAATTTCAAGAAACCAACCATGCCCTACCTCACGGCTCTTCAAGAACCATATATTCCCAAGTCCTTAACGTTGATCTTCATAATTGACATACGTTCCATGCATGCTTCCCAAAAATCATGGTTGAGGAGTGCTGACACATTTCTTCAACACGTGGGGTGAACAAACCCCGTCAACAACGGAATATGTCAGTACAACGATGCAACAGTGGAGGACGTGAGGGTGGGATGAGAGTTGTGAATCAGCTAATTTGAAATCGCCCATTGTCTAAAGATGAACTGAACACAATAATTATTCGCGTCAATCTTCTGAGAGTTTATTATTTCAGTAGCTCTGATTTACCACAAGCAAAACTCCGTACCTGTATTTGCATTGAATGTCTCATCAGCAGAGTCAGGCTTTGCTTGTACCAATGCTGGTGGACCGCTGGATGTTGAAGGGAAGGAACCTAAATTAATATATAGATCCTCGTTTAACGAATAATTATATACAACTCAAAATAATCATGAGCGTCGTTGGAGAATATTTAAAAATGTTTACTCAACCCATTGGCACTCGCCCACGCCCGCAATCCCAAAGAACCTGTTTGGCCATTGAAGGGTCGAGGGTTTCAGTCGTTTCTCTACGCCTCTCTTCACAGCAGCAGCGTTCTGCACTGCGAGGGCCTCTGAGTGTTGCAGCGCCGTACAACTCCCAAGTTCGTGAAGCAACCAAGAACCGAATCGTCTGAGAGGAGATGGAGCGATGAAATCATCCCGTGTGCAGGTACTGAGAGGATTGTTGCACTGCAGAACTGTGACGGCTCGGGGAAGCCTTCATTGGCTGATGATTGTTAAGGTAAAGGGGCACTACAGTCGTGAGATGTTAACTACCTCACCTCGTGTGCAATAGGTTGTGGGTTTGATCCCAGCACTGACACCTCTAAATTTGGCGTTTGCATGATCACCTCGTTTTCACGTAGGATTTTTTCCAGGTCTCCCGTTACCCCCCATATAAAAAAAATGGGCTTAGACTATTTAGTTGCTATAAGTTCCACGCGAAAAGCCGTTTTGTTATCATTTGTGGCCAGGTCGCTTCTGAAAAAGAGTTATATAGCTCAGTGGGCCTTGCTTGTAAAATTATAAATAGTTTAGTTTCAAAGTAAAAAAAATCGTAGCACGACACGTGCTGGAGTGGCATGTGTTCAGCACATGTCCTAACGGTATACACACATTTAAAGTGATTGAATAAAGAATGTGTTCGTATGCATTACTAAACCGGTAGATATGGAGAGGATTGTGTAATATTCATGTCTTATACTTGTGCATCGCTTTTGTCAATCCAATGCTGGATGAAGACCGTCCTACACCGTGCAGGTTGTAGGGAGTTGTTCAGCCTTCACCACGCTGGTCAGTAAAGGAGTGTAGATATGGGAGCATAGAAATTGCAGTATAGCAATGGATATTGATTGTTTAGCTCGTAACAAAATGGTTCATCTTCATCTGCCAATGTGTGTAAATTGTGGATCCGTGTGATAATTGAGATCTTCACTGAAGTAAATTTCTTTTACAGGGAAGTGGTGAGAAAAGTTTAGTTTTTCCCTGAAAAACTAAATATTTCACTAGACAGGTATGTGCCACACGCAAACTGTCTAACAAGGCAAAAGATCAGGTGCTTTAGTTGATTGGAAATTCCATAATTATTCAATATTGGCAAACATCACCATCTCAAACCAACTGCTACAAAAAGTTGGCTGGTTGAGAATTATTTAACAATCTTCCTTATTCTGTGAATCCTTTTAAAACATTGTGAAATAAAATAGAACATTCTATATACACGTGTGTTACACTTACAGACGTGCATTTGATTATGCATTGATTAATTCATTTATTTTATCCATGCATTAATTAATTTATACCATTACATTCATCCATCAAGCATTAATTAATAATTACTTTATTCATTCCATGTTTCTTTATCCATACATGCAATCGACTGATACAGAGATTCAGGAAATGTGCACCCAGATACACAGGGACATAGGAAGAGGGAAAGTTACAGTAAACAGATTAAGATAGTGATAGAAATAAAAAAAGAACCGGGCCACAGTCTATGGATTCATTTATTTCTGTTAGTGTTCAAATAAGTAACTGTGTACAGAAACGTCACGTTACCAAACAATCCAAAGTTCTACCTCACCCCTAACCAAGTTAAGCTCAGAACTCTCAAAGTGTATTATAATATCGTTATTAAGCTGGCCTATAAATGGGGATCCGTGGTGATCTGGTGGACAGATCTCCGTAGAGATGAAGCATTCAGACAGATGAGTTATATTTATTTTTACAGAAAGTTGACCATAACCTGAAAGCGAGTAATCAACAGGCAGCCAGAGACACACTGCTAACCATTATTAGGCAGGCTGCCATCCTTCCGGAGCCTGCCAAAAACCTCAAATTCAACCAACCACTTATTTCCTACCAAATTAGCAGCACACAACCCAGGCCACTCGGTTAAATTATCTTGTAGTTGATTTGCTGAGCAAGTTTCTAGCTGTTTGGATAATACAGTTTCTCTGTTTGTACATCATGTAAAGTTCGTGTGGGGACACGGTTAAGATTAAATGTAGGGGTCGCGAAAAGGACAAGAGACTACGCCCATAGAAATAACCTGGCAAGGAAGGTGGGAAAAGAGTTTAGCGGTTTATAAGAAAAACCCAGAGACGGAGCGAAGGGGCCCCGGGTAAGGCTGGTCATCAACAAAAGTGTTCGTGCTGAAAGTGTTGGTATTCATTGGAACAATAGTTTCCTTTCCGACCTAATTTCAAGACACCAATCATGCCCTACATCACGACTCTTCAAGAACCATAGATTTCAAGGTCCTTAACGTTGATCTTCATAATGGACATACGTTCCATCCACAGCATCATTCCCAATAATCATGGTTTAGGAGTGCTGACACAGTGGTGAACAAACCCCGTCAACTGAAACTGCCTAGGTTGACCAATCGCCGATTCACCCTTGTTAATTTCTCCTCCAGTGGATGTGACAGGATCCAAAGTATTGTTGTGGCACATGGGCACATGCATGTAACCTAGCTATGCAAACCCCTTTTTAGGGCATTTGTCACAACAAATCCTATACAGGCTCCGAACTTGACTTCTTTGGAAGACACATCAATGAATGTCTTAGCATTGCCACGTTTTCCAGAGAGTAAGTTAATGCCATCATTAAATTTGTTCAAAATGTTTATCCAGCACCACAATCAACTAATAACAGAAAACAGCCCTCTCCATTCAGGACATCAGACTATCTATCCAAGATGATAAACTACCCATATCTGTCAATAAAAACCATCAGACTCACACTGTTACTTGATGTACACATCATCACACACTGTCCACACCTTTCCACATATACTCCACCACTAACTACACAAAATGCAGTGTTCCAACCATAATGCAACATTCCAGTAGCATTTTAAATTTTCAGTTTAAAGGAAACAGGTCTCTTTATTTCTATGTTTTTTTTTAATCAAGATTGAAAACTCATTTCTTTACGCGGTTGGCTATGTACGTTGCGAAAGAAGTTCAACATTCGTAGATTACTCAATTGCTTCTAACATGTAGTTAATCATATGCCAATTTACAAATATTTAACCGGGAAAAAAATGTAATTCTTATCATGCCCCATGGTATAAACTCCTGTCCACTCTATCTCTCTAACCTTTAGATTCATCTTATATAATAATACTAATAAGACGTCATGCACTGCAACCAAATGGGACTCATTAACATAATTTTATACTTAGCACCATCACACAGGCTGGTTGGCTGCTTTCTGAGTGCTAACTTACCTATAAATTACCTGTAAACGTGATACAAACTTCCGATTAATAATACTAGCGGGAAGTTCCCGGCATTGCCTGGGCGATAAAGACACACACACATCGACTTACACACACACACAGACATCGACCCACACAAATATAAACACATCGACTTACACACACACACATGGACTCACACACACAGGTATCGACTTTAGACACACGCACACACATCGACTCGCACACACACATGGACTTAGACAAACCTGTAAATATAAACAATGTGCTAACTTAATTTCAAAATATTAGTTGTCTACACACACACACCACGCACACACATTGACAAACACACACACATCGACTGACACACATATCAAATCACACACACACACGTACTAATGGACTCGCACACAGACTTACACTCAGGCACAGCGACTTACACACGCACATATCGACTTACAAAGACACAGCGACTCACACACACACATGGACTTACACACATACATCGACTAACACACATCGATTTCATAATACACGTTTTTGGGTTAGATCGCGTTATTTATAAATGTCACGTAGAATGAGAATAAAATAATAAATTGATCAAATAAAATAACACAATATTCTCACGACGTTTCGGCCACAACACAAGCGACCTTCATCAGGTGATGGGACGAGACTGTCTGGTAGGACAGCGCTGGAGTGAAAAAGCCACGTTCAGATCACAACCTTTAAGCTGTGTGAGAGGAAACAAAGCGCCTTGACAAAGGAATTAGCATATAATTTAGCATTGAAAAGGCTGAGTGATTAGCTTGTGACTGGTCACAGAAATGGCTATGTTAAAAGTTAAAGCATACACATCCGCAGAGGCACACCTTGACAAAGGAATTAGCATAGAATTTAGCATTGAAATAGCTAAGTTAAAGCATACACATCCGCAGAGGCACCCCTTGACAAAGGAATTAGCATAGAATTTAGCATTGAAATAGCTGAGTGATTAGCTTGTAACTGGTCACAGAAATAGCTATGTTAAAGTCAGAGCATACACATTCACTGAGGCACTTAGTACAAATCAAACAGGAGAATTTAGCATTGAAATAACTAGGTGAATTTAGCATTGAAATAACTGAGTGATTAGCTAGTGACTGGTCACAGAAATGGCTATGTTGAAGTCAAGGCCTACACATCTGAGCTATTCACAGTACTATATAGTGAACCAATAAAAAATATATATAAATTACCTTAATGTTATCAATAAACTCTATATTCTCCAATCAGCTAAGCTACCAACAATAAGTCGTTATATATCACAATGCTATATGGCGAAAAAATGGGTGGATTCTTACCCTCAACTTTAGCAACACGGATAGCTACGGGCCCCGTTCAGACGGACAAGTTCATCCATGGTCGGAACAGAGGAGGGGGAGAGAGACAGCTGCGAGGCGCTATTATACTCCATGTTGTAAACCATACCATTAACCGTGGTGTGAGAGGTATTAAGAGTCAATGCTGGCGAAAGAGCTGCGGTCTGAAGGTCATCGTAAAATACAATTAATTAAGAACAGAAATTGTTTAAAACATCTTTACAATGGTTACTAAGCCAGAATCCATCTTCTCGGTTGAAATTGTCTCTGTGCTTGTATATGTGAATGGCTCATGAACGAATCTCTCATGGTAGCCGGTTGGTTTGCAAAGAACCTCCGTCTTGGAGAAGTCAATGTCATGTGAGCCCACTGAATTATAACAGTGATCTGCCACGGCAGTGGAGTTCATTCTACCGTGTTTCAAGTCTGCTTTATGTTCGCGGATGCGGTCCGAGATATGTCGTTTGGTTTCTCCAATGTAACTACTACCACAGAGGCACTTTACTTTGTAAATGCCCGGGTACTGTATGTCTGGAACAGCATCTTTTACAGATGGAACTAAATCACGGATTTTATGTACTGTGTTGAATCTGACCTGGA